CAATGAAGTGTAACCGGCCACTGAAGCCATCCGTTGATCTTCCGACTGTCAGACCAATGGCCTTCACTGAGAGACACCATCTGATCCCATGACATGTTCTCCAGGTCCAAATGAGACTGCTTTTCATTGAGGGACATGGCGCACCAAAAGGCTGATCCTCCAGCTTCGTACATTGAATGCTGCTGCATGCTATGAAGGAAGTTCGAATCTTTCCATGTCTCCTTATACCCAGTTCGGACACCCGACTTCGCGTTCTGGACTTCAAGCACTGGAAGCTGGTCAAGTGGCTGGCCTTTAGCGCCAAGCTCAGATTCGTAGTGCTTCTGCAAGAAGATGACCAAGTGGTGCTGTGCCTACAGCAAGTTGGAGCCGCTCAGGGAACATTGGCAGCAATGGTCTATATCACCCCTAAGCGCTAACAGTCTTCATTACATTCACCCATTCCAAATAAAAACCAACCCCGTGAATTGAGAAGCGAGCTACCCAAGGGATCAAAAGTCGCATGGTGTCAAGCACGCAATCTGTGCCATCCACTGGAGGTGTCCACTCTTGTGGAGCAGGAGCACATGTGCGACCAACCGGCTCTGTGCGAATGGCCTTTGCAGGTGGGGCCTCCTCTGGACTTCCGCTGGCCCGCTTGGCAGGCGTCTCTGCTGGTGTGGAAAGTTTCGTCTGGGCCGCTGTCTCCGCCTTTTTCTGAGGCGACATCTTGGGAAAAAAACTCAATTTGTTCGTGCCCAAAAGCAACTCAATAGACTTGCTTTTTTTGGAAAAACGGTATCTATTGGCATGGTCATAGACGTGCAAGGATTGGATCGCTTTAGATACTGGCATCTATGAGTCAATTTGAAGAGCGGAGCATGCACACCAATTGACCTATCTTTTTCAAAAAAGCATAGTCAATTGGATGCCAGCTTAACTGGCAACTAGGCAACATACAAGAGCCGCAAAGAACACCTCCTTCTGATTCTTCCTTCACTGTTTCACTAAGGACAGCTATTTTTCTTGAAACTAAGCTTCCTCTGCCTCTGCATTGACCCCGACCCTTCTCAATTTCCGGGCCTGCAGCACACTCCAAAGCGCCGTTTCCATGACCAATCCACCTGCGCTGAATGTTGGGAACGCTTTGTGTTGGGGGAAACTGAAACCCTCCAATAGAGCAGATTTGGGACTCCGGCCTCTCACGGAACAAAATCTACAGTGTACCTCTTTCGACAATGATCTCAACGCAGCTTTCTTTCGAGGCCCAGCATGCACACACGCTGGGTCTTCGAGCATTAATTGTCACGATTGAATTTGACCATAGCAATACTGACAAGGTCTGAACAAAAGCTAAGTTGCCCTAAGACCATCTAAGAACCTAAGAATCACGGAAAATCTGGGACAATCGCTTTCTCAGCTTGGAAGATTTGCCATCGAGCGGCAGCTTGCGCTTGCCACCGTGAGCTTCTTGCCCAGGCGAATGGCGGCGCTGACCAGGTCTCACGCCCCCAGGCTGCTTGCGAGTCCTCTGGATGGCTTTGGTGCCAACCTTCAAGCGCTTCTCTCGAGAGTTCTTGGTCTGCTTCTGATTCTTGTTGTCCCCGAAGCCCCGGGCAAGCACCGCGGATTGCCATCCAGAAGTTGCCTTTTCGATCTCGAAAATCGAAGCCTTGCGCCAGGACTCAAAGCAAGATGCGGTTCTGTTGGCTTCTGGCCACTTGCAAAGGTTCATACCCAGCAAAAGAGCAAGGGACACGCATTTGATGTCCATTGTGTTCCCGGCCCACTTCTTCATCTGCCCTTCGCTGACCCCCTCTAGGTCATACCTCTCAACCGGAGCCCCGCAGGCAAACATCTTCTCATGAGCTGTGAGCAGTCTGCACACACCACCTGCTTTGCGGATAACAATCTTCGAGTGTGGCGTGATCACTGGAAGGGTTCCATTGGAGCGACTTGGGACCCTGTTGGCAGACTGGCTGACATCGGCAGCAATCAGCTGGGCAGTTGGGTGGCCAGAGACTGCAATCTCCCACGTATCCTGCTCTCTCACAGTCAAACCACTTACCTTGGGCAAGTGTGAAACATTCATGCCCTTCCGGACCTCTGCATTCAAACTCAGCCACTTGCACCCTTCTTTCGGCTGCCTAGTGTTGCCCAAGCTCACAGCCGCCCCTTTCAAGAGGAAACTCTCCCATGTTGGCTTGGGAAACCTGGCAAAATGAGCGACACCTGAAGACAGCATGCGAAGAATTGCTGCCTGCATCCGATCCACATCGTTTGTCTTGGCCACACTCTGGTGGACGCACACAAAATACAGCCTCGGGCGCGAGACTGCATGGCACAACATAGTTGGACAAAGGTGGACCACAAAAACGTAGTAGTTGGACAGGTAGCGCCTCACATGCTTTAGCATCGTCTGCCAGGCTTCCGGCCTGTCGCGCAAACCCTCCACATTTTCTAATACAGCTAGAGCAAACTGCTGCTTCTGCACTGTTCTCAGAACGGCTCTTCCGGCTCTGGCTGCCTTCTCTTGCCACTCCCCACTGCTGGCGTGAAGCTTCGAAAAAGGTGTGCATGGAAAGCCTGCTGCGTAGATATTGGCAGGTGGCAAGCTCCGCGGCTTGTTCACATCGTGGAAGATTTGCTCTGGTGCAAAGTTTCTCTTGATGAACTCCCGGATGTTTTTGTCAACGTCACAGGACCACAAATGCTTGAAGTCTAAGCCACAAGCCTCAGACATGTTTTTTGGGGTGTGGGTCTCAGCACTATGAGCGAAATTATCCATCATGAACCCGAACATCATTATAAAACAAACCATTTTTGACACAATCAGAAGGCAAGAAACCCGTAGAGCTGAAGCCGGTTGCTCTATGCCAGCGCAATCCGTGCCCAATCTCAGGATGGCAGATCGCACACTTTTGCCGGGGAGGCCACTGGCCTTCTGCAGGCATTC